AGCAGTTTAAATGAAATAAAGGAACCTACGTTGTGTTACAAACATTTTTATTGTTACTTACCTCCGATGCTTCCGACAGAAGCAATATTATTCGGGAAATTTGAAAAGAATAGGTTATTATGTAAATCAAACGCTTAATTTGTAAACAGCACTACTTACTTTATTAAATAAAATGAAAGGATGCCGTACTCTGCCTGGAATTCACAAGTAAAAGAGCACGATAGAGAAAACCTTGATAACTATTCCAAAGAATTCAACTATGCTGTTCTGAAATTTTTCTTATGAAGAGAAATACTACCAACACAAAAGCTGTCCTCATTCCAAGGTTTGTAGTTTAATACATTCAAAACATATCACATTTATTTCATTCAAAACTGAAGAGTTTTTGTTAGTTCAGCAGATCCCCACCCGCAGGTACTAAGGTTTTCGGTTTTGAGGCTCGAACCTAAAGTTGAAGGTTTGGTGCAAATATCTTTAGACTATGAGTTATTCTATTCTTCGGTTTTGATTGATCGTTTGTTTGCTAAGATATTCTCCCAGTCACGGTCGAAAAATATTAGTACACTCAACAAGACCCTTATTATCACACTGAACCAAAAATATGGGCTCGAATGGACAGTAAACGATTGTATTTAGATTACTTTTAAATTGAAATTATTCACAGTATAAATCGATTCCATTAAGTACATACACATGTTGTATAATATAATTCTCAGATGAAATAAATACGGAAATGCTTTAGCACAGAATATTATAACATTCGTTAAATAATGAGGAAACATTTACTTTGTTTTTAATAACATTCTTTGGGACAATGGTCAAAGCTTGCAAACCAAAACAATATCAGTGCTTCTCGAACGATAATCTAAAAGCTATGACCTAACACCTATCATCTCTATTCATTGTCTGACTACCCTCTCCCTAGTTTGTGAATAATATTTTAAAAATCAATAATTATTTACGTATACAGAGTGTCTTAAAACTGAATCTTTTGGATTTAAAAAAATTTGTTTATTTTTAAATCGACGGGCCATCCATCTCAATATTTTATAGAAAAAATTCAAAAATTAATAACACCTAATAGTTTAATGACGAGTTCTGATGCATTGAATGTTTTCATCAATGTTCCAGTGGAAAAATCACTTAAAATAGTTAGTGATAGGTTAGAGCAGGATTAAGATTTATATAATGTAGAACAAAATTAAATATAAGTAGTGTTTTAGAATTGTGACACTTGGTGTTGAAACAAGTAATTTTCAATTAAATAACGAATTTTATCAACAAGATTTCAACTTTACTAAACAATATTTTTATGGAACATTTTGAAATTAAATACAATAGTTTTACCAAACCAAATCAAAAAAGCTTTTAATGCGGCTGCATTATGTTGATTGTTGAGTGCCTTTGTAGATTGTTCTGTAATTATTGTAGGTATTAAGCTAAGACACAAATTACCAATAACAGATGCGAAAGAACACCGAATTACGCGTTCAGGTTTCTGTGACCTTCAGAAAGAGTTCATAGACAATCCGCATCAATGTATAGTTTGGGTTATTATTCGTTTGGGTGAAAATAATCTGCACCAATATGTTATCGAGGCATACAAAAAGGTCCACAGATTTCGAGACATACGAAAAATCAAGTCCATTTAGCATGTGTCGCAATTTTCACACCTTAAAAAATTAGTTTTTTATAGCTATAGCAACTGCAGCGACTATGAAAAAAGCTGTGTGATTTTCATAGAAAATAAGGGCACCTGTAATTCATTTGAGAATGTTATAAATCGCTAAAAGAAGTTTCAAATCTCTTGGATTTCTATTAATATTAAATAAATTTTATTAAAAATTGAACTAAAATTGTTAGTATCATTAAAAACAATTCAAATTCAAAAATTGTATCAGTCAAATTCCCTCATTTAAGGTGAATATTAAAGTAAATATAAATACAGCTCATTCTAAGCTCTACTTATCTTTAAGAAAAATTTAAATCATTGTTGCAATTGGGCCTTAATGCCATTTCGAATGAACAATAGTATAATAATGTACATTATAATAATAATAAATTTTATATCATAGTGTGTATTAAAACTACTAAAACCCTTTTAAATTGATATTATATTAACAACTTTTGTTTTTTAATCCAAAAAAAAGTTACCAATTTTCTCAATCAGAATATTTGCGGTCCTGAAAAGGACCTCCGTTTTCCCATGTCCGTCAAGGTAGGTAATGGGTAAACGGTAAAAAAACAGGATAATGAAATTTAAAAAATTACAAAAATTGTTCAAAAGTGCCTCCCTCTTGCATTAAACAATAACCCAAATGATCATAAAATCCCCTCCACACATTGGATAACATATCAGGGGTGACAGTGTCAAAGGCATTAAATATTTTCTGTCTTAACTGCTCCAAGTTTTTAATTTCTTCATGGCCGTAAATTTTAGATTGTATGTACTCCCATAAAATCATTCACCGAGAAGTCAGGCGAAATTAAATGTCAGTCTAAACAAAACTGTAATTTTTGAAAACTTGTCAAAATTTGGACACACGCTAACTGGACTTGATTTTCCTATGTCTCGAAGTCTGTGGACTTTTCTGTATAATCTCACAGTAATTTAATAGATTGCTCGTCATATTATATCAGCTCGTAGGAGATTAGGAAAAAAAAAGATATTTATAGTTTAAAAAATAATTTATTTAACAAAATTTAATTAAAGACGTGACAAAATAGTTACATTTCTATTGGTTCTATCGGACTTTTTTCGACTGTATAAATCTTTATTTTTTGTACTAACTTTAATGCATAAAATATTTTCAATCTAATAAATAATTTAATGATGTAAATAAGAGGAAATTTCTCACATGGGTGGTCAAATTCTATAGTTTTCATTATATCAAACAGCCTCTGAATGTTTTATTCAGTGCAAAACTCATCAAAATTTAATATAAATAATTTTTCCAGCCCGTCAAAAAAAAATGAACAAATTTTTCCACTTTCATGATCAAAGGCTTTTAAATGGGTAAATAATTTCGAGTTATCCAGAGATTCGGATTCTTTTGCAAATTTTAGACAAATATCACATTGATGTATTTGAAGACCCTTTTTAATGATGTAGTCAAACATAATTAAAGGCATTTTGAGTTGAAATCTTTTCTCAGAGGCTGTTTGATATAATGAAAACTATAAAATTTGACCACCCATGTAAGAATTTCCTCTTATTTACATCATTAAATGATTTATTAGATTGAAAATATTTGATGTATTAAAGTTTACAAATAAAGATTTATATAGTCGAAAAAAGTCCGATAGAACCAATAGAAAGGTAACTATTTTGTCAGATTTTTAATTAAATTTTGTTAAATAAATTAATTTTTTATACTATAAATATATTTTTTTTCCTTATAAATAAACACATTTGCATCCCATTTTAAATAAGATATACAAATTACCAAAACTTAGAAATAACAGTTCAAAAGTTCAACAAAAATCCTACAAGCGTTTTCAAAAAGAAACATATAACCACGCACTATGTCATTCCAGCAAGCGAATACGACAGAGCATAGGTTTCCGGACTAAACGACTGGTGTATTTACACCACTCAATAGGCGTGTCGGGTTTGCCGAGCGGTTTCCGATGCAGTCGCTTTCTTTCGCATCTGTTATAGGTAATTTGTGGCTAAGAGTAACCTCTCTAATAACTAATATGAAAATCCTACGATGTGAAAACAGGTTTCTCTAATTCTGTGTGTGTACCTTTGTATGTTGCAGTTTTCTATAGTTTTGACTACAGTAACATTGAAAATAAATGGATTAATGAAAACTCCTTACCTGATTGCTCTATTTGATCTCTGTTTATTTTTTTAGTTATTAACTGTCTGACTCTTATCTGCTAAGTCGAGCACAGCCGTACCATCTTTTTCTCGAAGGTATTAGCAGCACTTTTCACCACCCTGTAACTTCGTTGTGGATAAAGCAAGAATGAAGTTTATGAATTATTGCTTGTCAAATTTATTTAATTTCGACATTGACTCACTGACACATCATCAACATTCTAAGGTACCTAGTTCTAGAAGAGTTGCACACTTCAAGTTTTAAATTTTAGGCAGCTTTAAGCTTATACGCAAAGAAAAATATTAAAAATCTCGAAATATCCTTAAGGATTAAAAGTTAGCTGTCTAGCCGCTACCGGTTACTGACTTTCCAGTCGAGAAAAAGGTAGAAATCTGGAATTAATCGAAGCGGTCTCTTCTAATTTTATTTGTATATGAATGTATCTAACAATAATTCAAGGATTATGATTTTTTTCTAGTCAAATTTCTCTACTTTCGCCTGGGACACACTCACTGTCATTCAAATTCTAAGGTACTTCTAGTAGTGTCACAAACGTCAAATTTTTAATTTTAGGTGCCCAGCTTTAAGCTTATAACCAAAGGTAAAAATGAAAAATTTCTGAATATCCTTATGGAGGATAACCTACCAAAAGAAACGAGATGCCATCAAGAACATAGAATGTAAAAAATGCCAAGTCTCGCAACACAATTTTTCCACTATAAAAAGTTGCGAGATCTCATGTAAAACCAAGTCAGTTTATTTTATTTAGTTTCTCTTTAAGCACATATTCAAGAATTTTGTTACAAATTGTTAGTATCAGTATAAAGTTATCTTTATTTCTGTAATAATTATAATGACTTGGCAATTGCACAGCACCATAATTATAAAAGAATAATCTACCATTTCGACTCCTAAGTAAATCTAAACAGTGCCCTTAAAAATAAAGTTTTTTAATTAATGTAGAACTCCGCCATTGTCTGGTCCCAAGTCCAGAATGAGAAAGGAGGAGGGTTTATAAGTCAGGCTAGCTCCCTACCTATTGTAAAAAAACACAAGGCTCACAGAACTACAAGTTTGCCTCGGAACAGGATTGATTTAACGGTAACGACAAGCGCGAGAAATAGGACTAAGATTTGGAAAAAGAACAAAATAAGGATAGCCACTTGGAATACTATGTCCTGGAACAACAAGGACCAAGAGATCATCAACGAACTCAAAAGCAACAACATCGATATATGCTCCATCAGCGAAACCAAGAAGAAAGGAAAGGGTAAATACGAAATCGATGACTACACTCTAATATACAGCGGTGTTTCACGAGACAAAAGGGGACATTCGGGAGTAGGTCTATTGATCGACCGAAAATATAAAGACCATATTGAAAAAGAGGAATACATAAGCGATAGAATATTGCTGGTTACACTGAATGTCAACAAAGAAAACATCCATCTAATTAGCGTATACGCCCCGGACATAAGTAAAGACAGAGCCGAAAGGGAAAGCTTCTACGAGGAGCTACAAGAAGCTGTTGACAGAATACAGGCCAAAGATAAAATAGTGATCATGGGAGACCTGAATGCGAGAGTGGGAAATGAGCCACTAGGTGGGGTTACTCAGAGATTTAATGAAGAGGTGATGAACGATAACGGTGACTTACTTAAAGCATTCTGTGCAGTTAACGCGCTGAGAATTAACAACACTTTTTTGAACACGACATGAAGTACAAGTACACATGGCAGAACACAAAGGGGCCAGCAATCAGTGATTGACTATATTATCACTAATAGATCAATAACACCACAGACAATATTAGACGTAAGAACACTGAATGCGGCTAACATAGGCAGCGACCATAAATTACTACTATGTAAGCTAAGATTGAGTATACCCGCATCCACAAAACCAAAACCACATCGAATGAATAAATTCAACATTGAATCTCTGGAAGACAACAACACAAAACTACTCTTTGAAAATAGACTAACAAACAAAATAAACGAAAACCCAACAAACAGAGAACATGACATAGATGAACAATGGAAGACAATAAAAGACAATATACTTGGTGCCTGGTGCCGAAGAAGCCATAGGAAAAAGAAATTAACATCAACAAGGTTAACAACACGCCATGGTTCACGCCAGAAATAAAGGAATTGTCCAGCCAAAAGAAAGAATTTTATATACGGTATCTACGAAACAAAACTCCAGAGAATTGGAACAGCTACAAAAATGAACGAAATAGAGTAAACGCGACGATAAGAGCGATTAAAGAAGACTATTGGGAAAGATTCACGAAAGGAATGGAAAGGGACATGTATGGAAGCCAGAGAAGAATTTGGGGAATGTTAAGGAGAAACAAACAAGAAATAAAAGATACAGTACAAACAAACAAAATTACTATAGATCAGTGGGAAACGTACTTTAAAAATCTATATAGGGAAACAGAACAAATCGAGCAGCCTATAATAGACACGGAAGACGACAACAATATAGAACTAACGATTGAGATGATAGAAGATAATTTTAAATCCCTCAAAAATCGAAAGAGCCCAGGTCCTAATGAAATCACGAACGAAATGCTCAAATACGGCGGACCCAACCTGCAGAAAGAAATATTAGCATTTTTTTCAGAACATAATTAGTAAACAGAAAATACCCGCCGAATGGAAGAACAGCACAACGATACCCATATTTAAAAAGGTCAAAAAACAGTCCCAGAAAACTATCGCGGAATAACATTATTAGACAGCACCTTAAAAGCATTCACTAAGACAATACTACAGGAAATCAGTAAAACTATACAAATTAGAGACGAACAACAAGGATTCCGCAAAAACCGCTCGACTATTGACGCAATATTCATTGTTAGACAAATCGTTGAAAAGTCCCTGGAACTTAATAAGCCAGCGTATATGTGTTTTGTAGATATGACAAAAGCTTTCGATAGAGTACGCCTGACAGATATATTGCAGATTCTAGAAACAAAAGGACTAAACCCGAGACTAATCAACTTAATATATGACATCAACACCAACTGCAAAACAGCAATAAAAGTTCAACATCTGTTTACTAACGAGATACTCATCCAAACAGGAATAAGACAAGGTGACTCCCTCAGCCCATTTATATTTAACTTAATCATGGATCAAATAATAGAAAATCTACCAAAAACGGCAGGTTACAAAATGGGAAACACCTTCTTCCACGTTGTATGCTACGCTGATGATGCAGTACTCATTGCAGATACAGAGGACAATCTTCAGAGACTACTACATGCGTTTAATCTAAAGGCCAAACAATTAAACATGATAATCAACACCGAAAAAACAAAATGCCTGGTAACATCCAAGGAGGCGGTAAGGTGCAAACTGGAAGTGGACTCAAAACTGATCGAACAAGTGAATCACTTTCAGTATCTAGGGGTTGGAATATCAAGTTATGGCAACCTGCAGAAAGAAGTTAGAGAACACACTATGAAGGCGTCTCGCATTTCGGGCTGTTTAAATGACATCGTCTGGAGGAACAAGTATCTCAACACAGAGAGCAAGATTAGAATATATAAAGCCGCGATAAGACCAGTCATCACGTACGCAGCCGAAACAAGACCAGACACGGCCAAAACAATGCAAATGATGAGAACAACAGAAATGAAGGTGCTGAGAAGCATACACGGAAAAACACTACATGATAGAGCGAGAAACGAAGATATTAGAGAGTGGAGCAAAATCCAGGATATAGGAAGATGGGTTAGACAAAGGAGAAGGCACTGGAACAAACACGTAAGAGAATGGACGACAACAGACTAGCTATAAAAAGTTGCGAGATCTCATGTAAAACCAAGTCAGTTTATTTTATTTAGTTTCTCTTTAAGCACATATTCAACAATTTTGTTACAAAATGTTAGTATCAGTATAAAGTTATCTTTATTTCTGTAATAATTATAATGACTTGGCAATTGCACAGCACCATAATTATAAAAGAATAATCTACCATTTCGACTACTATAAGTAAATCTAAACAGTGCCCTTAAAAATAAAGTTTTTTAATTAATGTAGAATATGAGAATATGAACGTGAGATCTCACAACTTTTTATAGTGGAAGAATTGTGTTGTGAGACTAGGCATTTTTTACATTCTATGTTGTTGGTGGGATACTATTTTCTCTTCTTCTATTAGAATTTATCTATCGATACATTTGGTACAACCCTAAACATCCTTGTGACGACATTGTTTACCGAACAGCTTAAGCAAAGGGAAGAGTGTCGCGCCTCGCGGGGTCGATTTCCGAAAAAGTTTTATGGAGGGCGCAAGAGGCCCAGAAGAGATGTCGCCCGGCCGCTGCACGTGACTGCTCTCTCGCAGGTCGGAGATGTGTGTGTTTGTTTTGGATTGTAAGCCGCTTAAGTTGTATGTAATTATGTTTGTATTGGACTTAGAGGAAATACAAAAGGAGAATGCGACAAACGTTTAAATTGATCTTCTCTCTAAAGTATTAATCCAAATTTAATATACGCATATTGTAGCATTTTTATTTTCCAAATGCTACTTTGTTTTATTATAGACGGTATTTTATTATTGTATCGATATTCTTTTTACATTCCTACAACACATAAATTTCGGAACGCTCTCTATCGAAAATATTGGATCATACCCTGATGGTGTATTGACAAAACGGGAAACGTCAAAATCGTCACCTCGGATTTGGCCGTTACCGAGGTCACTGTGCCATTTTCCAATAAAATTTATTTGGCTGGTATTTTTCACAATATGGGAAAAATATTGTGATTTTGTTATCCTATAGATGGTTGAAGGTCCCATATAGATTTTGATTATTGAGATTTTAGTGGATCTATAGTTTTGGTAAGATTTTCTTTGACATTCCATTCGTTAGAAAAAACCTTTACATGCCAGTTTTTTGATGAGAAGTGTCCAGCCCTTATTCGAGAAGAAATGTTAAATAATTATTGATTGTGTGCCTTCACAATGAGGTAAATTAATACCTTCGTAAATTTTTCGAGTTTTTTAAAATGTAAAGTTAACTAATACCGTGCATTGCTTTTTAGGTTTTTCTACAGATTTTTCTACGTATTTTTCTCAGCATTTTTCCACGTATTTTTCTTCAAGTATTTCTAGACATTTTTCTAGATGTTTTTCTGCAAGTTGTTTTGCATATTTTGCTAGAAGTTTGTGCCAAGTTTTTCCACAAGTTTTTCTTCGAGTTTTTCAATCACCGAGGTAATCAGTAGCAGCCTGTTGGGTTAGATTTCAGCCCTGCACCCCTCTAAGGAAGAGTTGGATGCTGTGATGTTTTTGTATTATTAAGAAGATCCTTTTTTTAGTATAATTTGGTATACAAGGCCAGTATATTTTTTTTATAGTAAACTAAACTTTTATTAATTTGATTTTAAATAATCATTAGTGTGTTAAGAAATTAACTATTCTTAACATTTTACATTTAACCGGTTCAGTACTTGCCTTCAGCATTACTTTAACCTTTAATTTATAAAATTTAACATTCTGTTACATTTTATATATTTTTTTTAACACTTAAGTATTTGCCTTCAGCATTGCTTAAATTTTACTTGTATTTGATTATTAAAATAATCATGTTATATTGATTGATTATTCAGATTTAATATCTATTTATGTTAACCTCTTATACCATTACGATCTTTGACCTGTAAGGGCAATCTTGGGTACAGATTTTAATCTTTTTGCCCTTAACTATATATAAACAAAAAGGTTCATGAATCTTCGTAATAAGTCAAGTCAAATTTAAATATTTATTATTCGAATATAACCAAGACCGTCTCTAAAAGTATTCCTTTTATATTATAATTGTTTGAATAATATTTGAAAAGATATAATTTGATTTTAAACAAGTTTTAAGATAGAGTTTCTTAAATATAATTCTTGTATATTAATGTACAGGGACATCATTTTAAGTGTCTCACTCGATTTATAATTTTCCTGTTTGGTATTTAAAGATTGTAGAAAGATTTCCTAAAGTAATTTTTCGCGAGGATGCCAATTCTCCACACCAAAATTTTTTAAAACGTCAATTTTGACAGATACGACGCCATCTTGATTTTTTTTAAATGGAAACCCCCACATATTTTAGCATGGTCCGGTAGACATATTTCAGCTAATTTCAAAAATATATAGTTTAGTATACTTTGCACTTACCGTTTTCGATATACAGTGGATTTAAAAATGAATTGTTCCAGAATCATTTTAAGTGTCTCACCCAATTTAAAATTTTCCTCTTTTCTATTTTAAGATAGTAAAAAGATATTTTAATGTAATTTTTCGCGAGCATGCCAATTTTCTACACCAAAATTTTTTAAATCGTCAATTTTGACAGATACGACGCCATCTTAATTTTTTTAAATAGAAACCCCCACTTATTTTAGCATGGTCCGATAGACATATTTTAGCTAATTTCAAAAATATATAGTTTAGTATACTTTGCTCTTACCGTTTTCGATATACAGTGGATTTAAAAATGAATTGTTCCAGAATCATTTTAAGTGTCTCACCCAATTTAAAATTTTCCTCTTTTCTATTTTAAGATAGTAAAAAGATATTTTAATGTAATTTTTCGCGAGGATGCCGATTTTCTACACCAAAATTTTTAGATCGTCAATTTTGACAGATACGACGCCATCTTGATTTTTTTTAAATTGAAACCCCCACTTATTTTAGCATGGTCCGGTAGA